TTCAAACCAAATGAAATTAAGAAACACCAAGCAAAAAAATTATTTTTTAAAAAAAGAAACTCACCAAACATCCGTAAATGCATAAAAGTAGGAGGATTGAAGCTCCCAGTAGCTACTAACACAACATATATCTTGTCCCCACTTTGAAAATAGAGAACCCAGGATTGAAAAGTAAGATTCATGGGAATTAACTAACCCTTGAAGCAGGAACATAAAATAAAAACAAAAAACTTACTTGGTTATTGATCCTAAAGATAATTTATCCAGAGGCAATGGAGTATCCATTTGAAATTTTGAACTGAAAAAAAAACCTGAAAAACGGAAGATAATTTTAAAATGGGTTCTCAATATTTCTCAATTTAAACCACAATTTTCCAGGAAAATTACAACCTTTGACAATTATCATACCTTGAACAGCAGAGAAATTGAAAGAAAGGAAGAGGTTCTGATGCCAGACGATGAAGATGATGATCGCTTACTAATAATAAAACCAAAATAAACGTTGATCAAGTGTTGAATTTTTATAAAAACTGATTTTGACGAACACTTAGCGATCCAATTTTTGACCCAAAAGTAAAAGGAAACATTTGAGACGCTAAGCTAAGCTTACCTTGACCTTACTTTTGACGGTGCTGGGATGAAATTGCAGAGGCAGACTTTTGGGTACGTTAACTCCCTGAACTTATCTTAAATTTTTTATTAAGTCTTTAAATTTTTATTAAATCAAATAAGTTCCTAAACTTTGTGATTTAGACAATTTAATCCCTTTCCTTTGTGACAGATTGAACGTCCTTTTGCGCATCGCTTGCGTGGATAAGAATAATTGAGTAAGGCACAAACTGACATTAAGTTTGTAGTGAAAATAAGGTTTAAATTACTTAAATTGATAAATTGAGAGTTTATTTACTTTAATACGGTTTAAGAGTTTAATTAAAATTTTGAGGTAAGTTTGAAGCTTTAATATAAGATTTTGCCTAGATTTTTTTTTCTTTTACCTCTAAAAATATTATAAAATATATTTACTTATTTATTTTAATTAATATTTTACATATTTTTAAAAAAGTAAAAATTTACTTATACATAATTTTTATACATTATACTTATATAAAATTTTAATAATTTATCTTTTTATTTTTAATGGTCGAAATTTTTTTATATTTATTAAAAATAATTATTTTTTATCTAAAAAAATTTGTAATAAAACTTTTATAAAGAGATAAATATTCAAAATTTTTTATAAATATAATATATAAAACTTGTATCTAATTAATTTTTTAAGTAATAAACAAATAAAATTTAAAAATTAAAACGCAGATATGAGTGTTCCCAAAAAGAATTTGGGACAAGGAGGAAAAAAGAATGAGGGTAGATGTCTCTTTTATCTTGTTTGTTTTTTTTATTAATAAAGAGAGGGGGATGGAGAGATGATAAAATCCTCTCTGCTCCGCTATATTCTATCCTTTAAAGGGATTGCAAAGAATTTAATTTACATTTTTAACACATTTTACTCTTTTAGAAAATAAATATATAAAA